GGTCATGCACAGCCATGCACAGCAGGTCACCTGACCATCCAATCCTTCCAGCAGGTTCCAGCACATGCCAAGGTATACCAGCTACTTCCATATCATAAAGGCTTAGTCATGTCTCTTGACCAAGCAATGAGCTGGTGCCCTGACACTAGCCTCATTAGCCGCTATTTTGGCTACTGTATTTGTGAACATAGACCAGAAGCTGAAATTGAATGGAAATAACATAGAAGTTAATTATTGGGGGTATGAGGGATGGCAGAGAACTTTATATATGACTGTTGACAGGTGTGTTGGGTTCTGATGCCCTTGCATTGAACTGAACACAGGTTGGCAGGCATGTCTCCCCTACCCTTCCCTGATCTAAGTGACTACTCACTGATGCCTGCTCAAACATCTTCATCAGAATGTGATGGGGACATGGACACACCAGGGCTTGTTGGGAACCAGGCGGAGTTTGGCAAGATACTGCCATCAAAGTGCATTCCCTTTTGCCCAATCAAGAACCTCCAGAAAAGGGGCCAACACTTTTGATGTTGAACTCATTGAAAGCATCAGGCCTTTTGAGTATGAGGGCACATATCTCAGAAATCCGAACATATTAGTAGTTCAGGCTCTCAAAGATACACCACCCCATTCCTGGTGGGCATGTGATTTCCCATGAATATTCTACTGCAGGAGAATTCATGGGAAATCACATGCCCACCAGGAGTTGACTTAGATCAACCAAAAATTCATATTGATGCAAAGCACATGATGTTGATCATTACCCTTCCCAGCCTGTCACCTCCCACAGATAATACAATGAACATTACAAAGGTCAAGGCATGACAAGGTGCAAATAGTATGGTGATTCATACCCGTGTCATTACCAGTATTAACAAAATGGAGGAAACCCTTAACTCTTCCAAAACTTCCAATAGTAAGACTAATTGTAATTGCAGCCATTACTATTACTATCCTATATAGTGAAGCAAATGGCAAGAAGCTGGGGGCAAAGCCACACGCAAAAAGCGAGTAAGGAAGTAAATCCGGACCCTAAGTCCAAAATTGGAAGTGGAACTAAATCTGCTTCCACTGCGGCAGTGCAGGTCCCAACGAGGCTGAGGGTTACTTAACCCTGGCCCTTTTTAAACCCTACCTCTAACCCATATCCCCAAATATTCAACATATAATATATTAAATACATGCATGCAAGGTATAGCACGCATGAGGTATATTGACTACAGAGCTACATAGACTTAACAAAAGACTTACAACCGTAACCAAATATGTATTCTACCCTGGACTTTTACTATATAAAGCACTCACAGAAACAGGACACAGGACATGGGAGATGGGAGACGGGACATATCATGATGGGATATGGGAACTATGTAGCAAATAAAAGACCCTTGCACTCAGAACGATGAGCGAAGCGAGACGGGCTCCCCTAGTTACTATTTATTAATTGGCTTTCCATAGTATTGAGTCTCTATGCACAGCCACAACGCGTGACTTCTCATCACGACAGCGACGAGGTCATTCGCGGGTTGTTGTGAATTATCTATCGAATCACTAACCCTTCCTCATAACAATCAATAATGTAAGTCCGCGTTAATGGTGGTATTTATTGATATTTAACAAGTTGCTAAGATGGGGCTGGTACATTATAGCGACGACGATGCTGCGTCGACGTCTCCTCAAGCGAACGCGACTCGATCCCACACGCGATCGGTTTCCCATGGGCGGAGCGGTCCCACAACAGATGTGAGCCATGTCTTTCCTTGATCGGAATAAGAAGCACATGGCCATCCCCACCCTGGTTTGTTGCGCACAGGTTACTGCTGGAATGCATGATCAGAGTGAGACGGAGCAGAGGCCAGGTATGTCAGTCATTGTGCCGCATGTCTTGCACTGACACGAGACAGCTTCTGAACCGGGTCCATCCAAGTCAAATATGGACAGTCCATCTTCGAGGTTATCCCCGCCGCCTGTGTCCGCCTCGCCGTTGCGCGAAGAATCCGGTGCATCTCGCACTCGCGTCGTACTCGAACCACATGATGAAGAAGCTTGTCTACGCGTACTTCTACGTCCAGCACGGATAGACAGTGTCGATGACTGGGCTATCCCTCCTAGGCCGGAGGGAGAACCTGATCCAGCTCTCGTTGTACGCGTGTGCACTCGGATCTTGCTCGTGCGCTGACCAGCATCAAACAGGCCAAGCTCGCCAGATTTCATGCGCTCAAACGCACCGGAAAACACTTCAATGACACTCTTATGTCGAACAAGGCGTTTCGGAATCCTCATATTTACGAGAAACTCGTCAACTTTGTGGATGTCGACGAGAAGGGATCAAACTTTCCGAAGGACGTGTGGGACCCGCTTGATTTCAGGCCTGAATGGAGAGCAGAGGCCTTAGGTATGTTGCATTGCACATAGTGTGGTCTGGATAACCACTGAGGGTCATACAGCGGAAGAGCAGAAAAGACGGTCCGAAGCAATTGAAGCTTCGCAAGCACGCGGCAAACGGAGCGAGATTAAATTCGCGTCATCTAAATCTGGGGAGAAACCACGGCATCGAGAACATCGAGAGCGTGACCGCGACAGGGAGAGGGAACCCAGGGAGAGGCACGAGCCGTACCCTTCCTATAGCAGGGACAGGGAGAGAGATGAGAAATGGAGTCGGTGGGATATGGGCGGACCATCGAGAGAAAGGGACAACAGAGAGAACGGAGGGAGATGACCATGATGGCTTGATTTCTGCTACGTTGTGTTCTACATACTGCTCTACTAATACATGGGGAAAGTGATGTCAATCTCCTTGGACCAAGCGCGCAAGCCTCCGACTACATCTTTCACCTGTGCACTATTACCCAGGGCCGTTCGTAGAGCATGGGCAGCGACTTGAGAGTCGTTACCAAGCTTGCAGAGGACGTACATATCCCGTCCGGGTGGTATGTATGCGAGTGGATCTCGAAGCAATGTCTTCAAGGGGACGTCTGTCATTCGGGTCAGTTTAGGCTCGTATACCAGGCCAATCAAACACGCACTGCTAGCCTCTGGTAGATGGCAGATCGAGAACTCCTCCTTCGACCTGACATCCAGAATGACCGCTCCCTCCCGCCTCCTCTGTAGCTCTTGCACCTCAACCCTCGTCTCTCCTGTCCTCCTCCCGGTCTCCTCCAGATCCTCCCTCGCCCCACCACAGAAAGCGACATAATCTCCCTCTTCTACCAGCTCTCGCGCCCCTCCTTCTCTGCCACAGGCAAGACAGTCTTTTCTCCTCGGTCTGAGCTTCAGGCTCCTGAACATCGGATTTCCCAACGCCGAGTATGTGAGGAGGGTGGGCACCGCTTTCTCTTCTGGCGCATATGGTCCTAGACCAGCCAATAGCTGGATGGCTGCCTGTGCTTGGAGCACCCCAATCACTCCCGTAACGGTGCCCAATACGCCGACTTCCTCGCATGTGCCAACTTCCTCCTGCTTCGGTGGAACAGGCCACAGGCACCTATAGCACGGTCCTCTCTCGTCCTCCGAATCTGCAAGTCGGAGAGGAAGATTGTACACACACAGTTGACCATCGTAGCGGATCGCAGCACCGGATATGAGCGGTTTACCAAGAGCGACACAGGCGTCTGAGATGAGGTAGCGCGTTTGGGGGTTGTCGGTGCAGTCTAGGATGAGGTCGTACGAGGCGAACAGAGGGAGCGCGTTGCTCGAGTTGAGGAATATGATGTGAGGGATTACTTGGATGGCGGGGTTGATACTGGGATGACCGTCGGTAGGGAAGTGAGCATTGGAGAGACTAGACGTACGCCTCCATCGCCGCCTTGGCCGATAGCGCCTTGGGCCAACCCTCCCTGGCTGTGGTATGTAATACCTGCCGCTGCAGGTTCGAAATATCGACTTGATCAGGATCAACGACGCCAATCATGCCTATTTGATATCAAATCTTTAATCTCCTTTTGTGTAGTAACTCGCGTACCAATCCCCGCAGCGGCGAGATACTGGAGCGCAGGACAACCCAATCCTCCAGCACCGACGACAAGTACTCGCGCAGAGCGCAATCTCAACTGACCTTGCGTGGATGTAAGCGCATACACTCAAGTTAAACAAGCAGAAAACGCACCAGGAAGTCCAAAGTTCTCCGAGATCATCTGCCGCCCATACCGCTTGTAGTCCTCAAGCGGCATCGGCAGATCGGACGTTGTTGGTATGAAACTTGCATTCTCCAGCTCAGCTTTTGCAGCAGCAAGCTTCTTCTCTGCTCGCTGAAGAGCAGCTTTCAGATAAGCGACTTCGTCCTCCATATCAGTTACACTGCGAGTGTCCATCGTTGTGTGAACCCGTAATGTGAAGATTTCCCAAGTGTTTGACACGGTGACTTTGCATATCACGTGACCGCTTTTTACGAGAGCTCTTCATCTTCGGAGGCGAAATTCCTGTTATCGGAGGCATTTTCCCAAATTGCCCTCTTCCAGGGGATCGATCTATAATCACGGAGCAGACTGAAGCATCAATCGCTGTGGGCATTCATGATAAAGTGACGGAGGAGCTTCCATTCTTAAGCATCTCGACCTTCGAGATTTGATCGGCAAACCGGAGAAACATGGCCTTGCCGTTAGAATTTCTCGTTGGCAGGGAGTCGGCCCGACCTGGTGAGTATCCTGTTCTCTTCTGTTGATTGCGTGGAGGTTACCCATACTAGCAAGTATGGTTTGAATGCATGCCAATATTCCCGCGCCTTAATTCGACAAGACCGGCACGATACGACGCGCATTGTACCGAGGCTCAACTCATTGTCTTCTGTAGATTTCGGATCGTCGGGCTGCAGAAGCTTGAAACTGAACCGGCTCTTCGGGCGATTATCACGAGATGGCTCTTTTCCACGCGCCGATGGAATCACGTTCACCGTCATTCTTTGTTGGCGATCTCTGCCTTGTACACGGACGTCCAGTACAAGGCTTTCTCCAAACCTTCGGGGGTTTGATCAAAGTCAACTCCCAGAATGGGTTCTTCTTTGCGTCTTCTTAATCCCGCGTAGAAGTCTTCTCTTGTGTGGAGTAACACCTTGGACCGAATGGAACGTGTCTCTAGCTCAAATATCACAAGAAGTGAATGTGGGGGAGGCTAGCTAGAATGGCCGGACGTTCGTTCCACACCTGCCGCCTTCCCCCCCTTCGGACAACCACTTCACCATGTCCACCTTCCTGACTGGTAATCCACATCTGAAGGGCTATACGCTCTCCAGACTGATTGACTTCACATGTTCTGTTGCATTTATCCTTTTCGGATATGGTATGATTGTTTAACTGATCCTATACTCGGAACTCATTATGCGAAGAACAAGGTGTGATGGGAGGTGTGATCACAGGACCGCAGTTCACGCAACGCTTCCCGTCGATTGACACAACGAGTGGACATGGAAACGCGCAGCTTCACCGGTTCACTGTGGGAATCTATAATATAGGCTGTTGGGCGGGTTCTTTGCTTACAATGGTAATCGGAGAACCACTAGGCCGTAAGAGGACTATCATTGTCGGGGCCATCATCCTGGCTGCCGGCACAATCATACAATGCTCTTCATATTCCCTGGCTCAGCTCCTGGTTGGTCCTGGATATAATTTCGTTGCACTTTGAGCTCGCTGAATCTGTTCCTAGGTGGGTCGAATGATTACTGGTACCGGAAATGGGATTATCACGTCATCTATCCCGGTGTGGCATGCCGAACTCAGCAAAGCAAAATCACGGGGGAAACTCATTACTACAGAGCTTTCTACCAATGTTGTGCGTGACCTTTACTATTAACTTTGATTCGTTCACCCAACACCTCCCTTTCAGGGCGGCGTAAGCTTGACCTTGGAGCGAAGGTGCCACATCTGAAACTTCATCCAGGTCTCTGTAGCGTACTGGGTGGACTGCGGGATGTCATTCGTGAACAATGAAGCAGCCTGGCGATTTCCCATTGCTCTTCAAGTCTTCTTTGCTGTATCCACGATTGTTTTCATCATCCTGAAAGCGGCGCCGTAGGCGAGTGATGCGATCATCTGCACATCCGGAGGGAGGGAGGGGATGTTGTCTGCTGCAAGCAGTTGGGCGACGTACTACAAATGTTATCAACCCGACATACGAATGAGATAAGGTGGAAGACCGACTGGTGCTGCGTTCGGATCTGCCAGAATCCTGCTTTTGAAGATGTTGCTGATGATACTCCCCTGCATCGCCGCGCTCCATATGTTTCCCAGCCTGCGACTCCACAGCGTCATAGTCGTAACGGTAGCAATCAGGTCCTTGCCAACTTCGCTCTGCGCGCTGATGGTGATTGTCTGCATGAGGAAACCGGCTCCGACACCGGCGAGGAAGAGGAGGACATATTCAACCCAGCGAGGGTGTGTGCCGTTCATGAGCGTTAAGAGACCTATGCCGGCCAGGTTGATCGCTCCGCCCAGCCAGAGGTAGCCAGGTACGTGTCCAGTTTTGGAGATCACCCAGCCGCAGGCGGTGGATACAAACAACACGGGCATTGCGCTAAACAGGACAATCAGAAGCCTGAGACGAAGCATGACATGATTCTTTACTAGGGAAGGATATCGAGCCCTGAAATGATCTGTGCATCGTGGCGGACGATCTGATAGTACGACGGTAGGTAGATGAAGATACCCTGGAGTGACCTACGTATTATCAGTACCCCTGGATACTTTCAACCAAATGACGTACACGCTGGAGAAGAAGTTGTTCACTACGCCGGCTGTGACATTCCTGTACTTGAACATGTGCATTGGAATAAGCGGGAATGGTGCTACCTTAATTTCCCAAAACACAAAAGTAGGCACCAACACGAAGCCAACGACGACGAGGGAGATGATTAGCGGGCTGTTCCATTCATACACCACTCCGCCCCAATTGAACCCCAGGGCCAGGGCGACGGTGAATGCTGCTACAAGGGCGATGCCCCCAATGTCTACGTCCCGCCAGGTAACATTTGGCTTGGTGTTGTGCGGCAGCTTGCGTGCGTAGGCGAGGAGGATGCCCACTGCAGGGACGGCCAGGATCAAGTTGATGTAGAAGCACCAACGCCAGTTCCATTGGACGAGTCCGCCCCCAATGAGCTGGAAAACCTCAGCGTGCATCACGGTGATGGATGGATAGACACACCGGACCAAAGACAGTCGAGACGACCAGACGGGCATAGATGATCCCCATATACCTCCCGCGCTCTTTGATGGGCACAATCTGACTAACGGCGACCATGATGGTGACGTTGAGTCCTACGCTGCCAATACCCGCGATCGCACGTGCACAACACAGCCAGACAAAGTTCTGTGCTACAGCGCAAAGCAGACTTCCGAGCTCGAAGATGAAGACACTGGTGAAGAGCACGCTGCGCGAGCCGAAAAGGTTTGTCGCACGTCCGAAGAGAGGCTGGAAGACGGTGGAAGTGAGGAGATAGGCCAGGGCGATCGATTGTTGCTGGGAGAGGGAGTTAAATTCAGAAGCGATGGTGGGCATTGCAGTAACGATGATGGAGCTATCCAGGGCGGAGAGAAATCCAGTCATGGACAGTCTACAAATATTCGAGTCAGGTCATAACGTAGAGGGTAAGTTCACGTACGAGAAGAACGTCAACTGCAGCTCCCAATGTGTCATGACGGGGATGGTATCTCTCTGACTCTCCCTCTCTCCATTTTCCGTCCTTGTCTGTTCTCCTTCCCAGGTTTCTGCGTTGCCATTCCCCGGCACGGTAACACTCCTAACATCTTGCTCCTGCGAGGGCGAAGTTGCCCGAACAGCCTGCAGGACGATGTCCTCCTTCCCGCTCGCTCTAGACACCTCTACCGCTGATGGTTGCGGCGTTTCTTCAGCAGGAAAGGTAGAAACCTCCGATTCGGGAAACGCTTGACCGGGTGTGTGCCGTCCAAGAAACAGACGCCGGAGCTCGATAGGCATCGTCTACGACCTGCAGATGCCGATGCTGACAAGTACTAATAGGGAGCAACAACGTTCAGTCAGAGTAGAATAGGTCCCCAAACTGGACTATACAAGAGTGCACAAATTAAAAACAAAGCCAGCATTTCAAACTCGCCCAAAGGCGACCCACGCATGCTCTTCTCATGGACGTCAGCAGCGTTCATGCCTTCATCAGGGTCGGAGACCTCATTTTCTGGTCGGTATTTTCAGCTGATGGGACTCCTTTTGATGCGTATTTCTTTTCGTTCTGGGCTGAGGCTGATCGAAAGTCCAACAATCGTGCAATTGTGCTATCCTGCGTAGAAATGATGCTTGTTGCGTATTTTTTAAATTGGTGAGGTGTAGGGTACATCCCCCTCAACCAGAAGGTTCAAGTCGTGCGATTTATTTCAGCGCACACCTCTGAACGTGGTTGCCCACTCAGTCCGAGTCCCATTGATGTTCACTTCGGAAAAGTGCATGACCAACCGCGGAAAATACTCCCACCTGTCTCCCCCTTACTCAGTCTTTCTCCACCAAAGTGTTGCCAACAACTATCGCGACAGCACACGGAAACGCTGAATCCAACACGGTCGATACTTTTGCTATACACTCCGTTCCAAGCTAACATACCCCGAATGACCTGACTAAGTACGTAAAGTTCAAGCTCGGAACATGCCTCCCAGACAACAGCTACAAGTCCGAGAAAACAACTTCGAGGGTCCGCCTGGCTGCACTTCACGCAGGAGTGGGACAGGGGCAGGGGCAGGGGCAGGGGAAATGGGACATAAGGCTTCCGGTACAGTAGGTTACGAACAGAGAGAACAAGTATAAGGAGAGGGAGAAAGAAACGAAGGGAAGTTGTAACGAGCGACAGCACACGACGAGCGCGATGAACAGATGAACGAACAGATGAGAGGAAGAAACAGATGATAGGAGGAAAGGAGAAACAGAGGAACAGAGGATGGCATTGGATTGGATTGGATCGAGGGGTAGGACGTGGACTAAAACGAGCGGACGGAAAGATCTTCGATTGCTTTCACGTGAACGGCATGCCGAGTTAGGGAAGGCGGTAGACGAAATAACATCCAGTCGAAAAGACAAGAGGGAAAACTTGATGGGCCAAGCGCCTTGAGATAATATGCGAGATTGACAAGAGAGAGGGTTCCGGTTAGGCAGGCAAGATCTGATTTGTCTTCAGCTCGATCTCAAAGCTCCAGTTTGCCGCAAGGCAAACCGTCCAAGATGGGAAACTGAGATCGACTCGCAACTTCAACTTAAGGCGTCCCTTGTTGACTTGAGCGGGGGAGGGGGGGTTGTCGAGGGGAACGCGTTTGGCAGTCGCAGTAGCGGTCGAAATCGAGGGCGAAAGTAGATTAATGTGAGGAGGTCGAAAGATCCAATTCAAATTCCAAGTCGCGATTGGACATTTTGGTCAAGAGAGGCGACGATCAGGCGTTAGCGACCCTCAGTCCGCCCCGTCCCCCCCAATCCTCAACCACACTCTCCACGTCCTTCCTTCCTCCAGCTCCCTCTGTATACCCCTCTGCGACATGTCCCACTTGGGACTGATGTTCCCCCGCATGACCATACTGCGCATACTGTGGCCCCGCGACTCCGGTCACCTCTCCCTGCCCAACAACCTGGGGCTGGGCGCCCCAGCCCCAGGAACTATCCGGCGCTAGACGGGCGGGGTCGTACCCATAGTTCCCGTATGCTTGCGCTTGCCCTTGAGGAGCGATAGGCTGAGAGTCGTAGTTGTAGTACGAAGGCATGTGTGGATCTCCGTGCATGTCCGACATCTCGTACTGGCCTTGCTGGGCTGCGTGCTGCTGTGTTTGGAAATCGTGTGCTTGCGAAGGGTACGCATACATCTGGCCATTCTGGTCGTACACCTGCCCGCTGGCGTCGGTATAGTACTGGGGTGCGTACTGCGCCTGCTGGGCTGCGTAGGCCGAGTAGTCGTACTGTTGTTGTTGGGCGGTATCTTCCATGTCCACCAAAGGTTGTTGGTGCGCCTCCTCGCCAGTACCTACAGCTGCACCGGCTGCACCAGCGACAGCGCCAGCCGCTCCGGCAGCAGCAGCAGTACCAGCGAATGACTGTCCAGTGCCAAAGCCCGCGATCCCCGGAGCTTGGCTCGCCCGCACGTCGGAGCCCGTGCCAGACGTGTTCGCAGTCTGTTGGGCGCGCATAGACGGAGTCATGTAATGCGCGGTGCGGGGCTTGTCCTCGTCGACGTCGTCGAACCTTTTTCTCCTTGCTGATGCGGCTGCTGCGTGCGCCGCCGCTGCAACTTCCCTGGGTTGTGTGAGTACGCATATACGCATATATCTTGGGAGAGCAAAACTCACCGATCGAACGCCCTTGCCCTGCTCCTCTTTCGGCAATAGACGAACATGAACAGAATAAAGGCTGCCACCGCGATGCCAAGAACGACAAACACGCCCGCTACCGCACCCTTGTTCGAAAAGAACGAGACACTGCCGCTCGCACTCCCATCCGTCGGACTGAGCACTTGAGTGAGGGTGATCACGTGTCCATTACTTGTCGTCTGGGTTATGTACGTAGTACCGCCCGGGGGCACGGTGGGACCCGGGGTAGCAGAAGGTGTATTGGTCGCGCTGTTGGGTAGGTCGAGGACGGAGCCGGGTTGCGAAGCAGAGGAGGCAGAAGTGGTTGGGGTAGAACTGGTGTCGCTGGTTATTCCTGTTGAGCTTGTAGTGCTGCTGGTAGTGCTTGTGGTGCTGCTCCTGCGCGTCGTTCGTAAGCAAGCAAGAGGGGGGGAAGGTGGACGTACGTTGGGGTTGTCGAACTCGACGACGTGGATGTAGTCGATGTAGTACTGGTCGTACTCGTAGTCGTCTCAGTCGTCGAGGTGGGTGTACTCGAGGTGGGTGTGCTGGTAGGAGTATCGGAAGAAGTGGGTGTGCTGTGTCAGTCAATGCCTGTTCTCCACGGGATGAGAAGTGCGTACTCTGAGGAAGTGGTGGGTGTGGGTGTGGACGAGTCGGTTGGTGTTGGTGTTGGAGCTGTTGAGGATGAAGATGAGGAAGAGGAGAGGGAGGATGATGAAGTAGAGGACGAACTGTCTGTTGTTGGAGTTGGAGTGGACATGGTCGTTCACTGCAGGGGGGTGACGGTGACGGTGATGAGGGTGGCTTGCTAGACGTCGAGGGGGAGGGGGAGAGTAGTAACGAGCGTGGGAAGCGAATAGCGAGGTGCGCGAGTGAAAGAAGAGGGGTGGAGTAATGAAGCTTAGAGGTGAGAAGATAATAAACAACGCGCTGATCACTGGAATGGGGTGACAGAGGGAAGAGAGAGAAGGGAGAAAAGCGCCAAATCAAATCGCGCCCTCGTTTCTCCCTCAGAGACACACCACACCCCATACATCCGAACATGTCGGACAATCTTCTGCTTCCGTCCGCATCGGTATTGTCTCATCTAACACCTCATGACATTCCAGTCTCCCCACGAGTAACTTCATCTACTCCTCCTACTTCTTGCACCTCCCTTTGGATCGTCAATATACCTACTTCTACCTCTAAGACACCAAGCCCACACTAGCAACCATCAATCACCCTCATGTAACTACCAGCCCCACATTCAGGCACCCCCGCGCACCGCCCCTTCCTTCTAAGGGATCATTCGACGCATGCTTTGCTTCCGCCTACTTTCCTTATCGCTGGTCTTATTGTTTCGGACAAGGTACATAACCCTCTAACAGCTTACTTTCTCCCCCTTTTGGATACAACGCCATTCTCATACTCTCTCTCATCGGCAGCACACAATACAAGCTTCGTGTACCTGGTATACAGCCTCTGCGCACCTTCGCGATCGCGGTGAGGGTTATTCAAACAACGGGTGATATCCTCGACATGTCTACCCCTTTTTTTAACAGAGACGCGCCCTGTTCGCATCGGTCCCGCTGAAACCAAAGGGCTGATGCCCTTTTTTTAGTAACAATGTGTGACCGGTGCGTTCTTCGCGTGTCCGTGCGCTCTCTCCCTCCTGCACTGGCTGGGCAACAAGTGGTTTGCGCCGTCAGTGACTGGGCTTTCGGCCTGATGTCGTTTGGGAGGAGGGGGGGGGGGCGATAGTGGTACGTCTTTCTCGCTCCGCTCTCCCAGCTTCGCCCCCTCTTCCCAGGCAGAGGAGGTGCGGTTTGCATCATCAGCGAATGGACGGGTTCGTCTGCCTGTCGTAGGTACTACAGTATCCAATCCGGTGATGCATCCCGCCGCTCCTCCTCTCTCCTGGTTTTCTCCTGTTAAATCAACCTCGAAAAGCGCCCCTCTCTGCAAGACCTTTGTGTACATCTTAACTGATCCATGCCCTCCCCTGTGCACCTTCAGGCTTGTTGTTCTGCCAGGTGGAATCATTTGCACAGAATCAACCCTCATACTGCCCATGACCGATCTAGTTCCCCCACGGTCCGGGTCTGTCGCACTCCTCGAAGGCTAGAGACGTTTCATCCTGTTTATGTCCCTCATACTTCTTGAACTTGAATTCAAAGGTGTTTGCTCGTTTTCGAAATGAGCGGACTCCATGCTGGCAAGCACAATCACGTGATGATCCCCTTCTCGGGAGGTATTTCCTCCGATGCCCCGTTTTCGGAAACAAAATACCTGTTATGCCCCTCTGGACGCATTTTACCCCAATGCCCTCTTCTTCCAGGGATCACGGTGTTAGGAGCTGAGAAAGCCGGTCGATAAGCCTAGGAGAAGCCGGCCTAAAAATATGAAGTGTGAAAGGTAGATCAGGGGTCCGATTTATAAACATGCTCATTTATCGGAGAATGCACTTTATGGAAAATCAAAAGAAGTGTGTCTGTATGTCTCATTATTTATATCTACTGATTTTTTTCTTTAATTTGCTTTCTTTTGTAATTTTCTAAGTGGATTAAGGATTAACTCTTGTGAAGCAGAGGCCGGGACCCCTAAGCGACCAGTTTCCCCTTTGGGGGTTTTCAGCACAGCTTCTAAGCTATCCTAACGCCGTGATCCCTGGGAGAAGAGGCATTCGGGGAAAATGCATCCGGAGGGGCATAGCAGGTATTTTGTTTCCGAAAACGGGGCATCGGAGGAAATACCTCCTCTCGGAGGCTCGGACCGAGAACACCGCCACTCATCCCCAGGCAATTCGCATGAGCCCAGTGTACCGCACTGATATCACTACAGATGGACACGGGGTTACTGAAAGGGTGAGAATATTTAAACAAGTCGGGAGTGTCAGGAGTGTTCACACGAGCATCATCTCTGCCTGTTTGGGATCTCTGCGTTGAATGATCGACCTCGGCATCTTTAGCCGCTGGTGTTTGATCGGATATGGTAAACTTGATTCCTGCTATGACTCATCTGCGTCTCACAAGAGAGATGCATGACGGAGCCTGATCGATGCTAGTTTGCATTCCGTCGTTTCGATCGTCTCTATCCAGCAGCCTTACTCCCATTCTCAAGATGCACAAGACACACAAGGCCAAGCTACCCCTGCACGATCCAACAGCCCATACACGTGGGCCCCCTTCTCTCTATCAGATCATTCGATACCGACTTGACGGATTCCTCCGCTCCTCTGATCGCGTCCCGTGCGTTGGAACGGATGGCCCGTGCACCCACCAGGCGTATAAAACCGCTCGTCTTGCTCGCATCCCGCAGCATCTTGCATCCCCTCCTACAGGGGTCGACCGACCTACTCATATCCAAACATCTGAGCAACTCATGGCAATGTTGTTTCATCTTTCTCAATCGCATGGATGAGTTCGCTTGCGGTGCTCTCCTCTATCTTCCACTTTGCGACACGGGCCAGCACTATTAGGCGATCTTAGACTTAGACCCCAGCTAATGTGTTGCCTGTGTCGGACAACTGGGCGATACGTTCTCTCGAACAACTCTCTATTTTGCTCTCTGCGGACCAGGCAACATACGGGAGGTTTGCATCAGACACGGATGGACTTCGACTACAGGTTCCGTGGGGTCATTAGTCGATGCAATCCCTCGTTTGTGCGCCCTTTTCCCTCCCCTTCCTCGTTCTAGCAACCTCCTCTCCACCGTCTTGTTGATGCCTCTTCTATCCTCTTCTGAGACCACTTCTTCCCCGGTAGCACGCGAGTTGTTTGCGTCACCAGTGGCAGGGCCTCGACTTCCTGCCGTTCGATCCCCGTCACTCTTGCTGATGCATGCCCTCGATTGTGCTCCTTCCCTCTACGGCACACGCAAGGCCTCGACTGCATCTCACGCAGTGATCTCCGCATTCGAATGCGTTCGCAAGCGCTCCTTGACCTGTTTGCCATCTCGTGGGGTTAGTGCCCGTGTTGTTTGTATCCAGCGCCTGCGGCTGGGTGATCGCTTACTGGACAAGTCCGTGGCTACCTCTGGTTAGGGGGAGCGATCAGCTTGGCCGGTATAGGTCTCCTAACGCTCATGGACGGCACACACCCTCGCTGGGTTGAATACGTCCTCCTCTTCCTCGCCGGTGTCGGAGCCGGCTTCCTCATGCAAACGCTCATCATCAGCGCGTAGAGTGAAGTTGGCAATTACCTGATTGCGATCGTCACGACTATGACGCTGTTGAGTCGTAGGCTGGGAAACATTTTGGACGCGTTGATCATCAGCGATATTTTCAAACGTAGGATTCTGGTAGACCCAAATGCCGCACAGTCAGTCTTCCATTTTGTCTCATTCGAATGACGACCTCATAACACGTATGGAATGTTACCCAACTGCTTGCGGCAGATAACACCCTCCGAACGCGCAGGTGACTGCTTCGCGAGCCTATGGTGCTGCTGTCAGGATGATGTTGATGATTACGACCACCGGGTTTTACATGTCGAGAAGATATGTCTGGACAATAACAATGTATTGTATATCTATTTCGTAGGGGGGTGTATCATACAGGGATCGAGTGGGAAAACCCTTTCAACTGCGTATGCTGTACAATACATTGAGCGTTTTGCATCCCTCCGCCCCTAGCGGCCCACCCACTACAGAAGTGGAACTACAATCTGCTCCTAAACGAACCACCACCAGTGATTGATCCGTTCACTCCTCCCGATCTCGTCGAACCATTTCCCTATCATGCCGGAGCTCCGCTCACCACTCACTTCTCCTGCTTGACCTCCGGCTCCTCATATAGCCCTCCACTCGCTCCAGCAAGCGCAATCGCCCCCTCCCCGGCAGCTGCAGGGTTGAGTGCCTTGTACATGTCAAGATAATGCTGCCCGTCGAATCCTCGTGGTGTGAACCGGCCCAGGATTGTACGTTTCTCCGAGTTGGAGAGGCGGACTGCGGTAGAGACGTAGGGCTTTAGCTGTTCGGAATGGAAGAAGGCGTACGTGAGCGCATGTAAATTGCAAGAATGGAATGGAACGCACTGCCGTCGTCCGTAAAACCTCTTGCGGAGGGGCAATAAATACCCGCACTTTGGTATCGTCGAGTCTGTACTTCCCCTTTCCTCTCACAACGTGTCGGCCCGGCGCTCCAGTTCGTGGTCCACCAGGAAGAGCGGAGACACGGTTTCCTGTCGTCCGATGTCAAGTGGGGCAAGAAGAGCAGACGCTTTGAGGACTCCCACCTTTGTAGAAATCTTTATTCGCGTGTTTGGATATAAGCGGGAGGCGAGATGCCTTGCTCAGTACGGGTCGTGTAGGGAACATCTTTGTTTTGAGTAGTCTTTAAGCAGGATTTGCGACAAACTGATAATGTAAATACAAATCCTCGAAGTTTGTTGTCGACCCTGACCCGGTTTCTCCGGGCCCGGAGCCGCCGGAGCCGAGGGCTCCGGAAGCAAGACATATATATCTGCTTCCGATGGTTCTCCTTTTGAAAGCGAGGTAACAACCAATCTTATTCGTCCATGTCGACTCTTAGACAGCCTATTGTGAGCTTATTGATTCAGTGGCCGATGAATACCTGCCCAGACAAAGCGGTCTCTTCCCACCAAAATGAATGCCAAGTATTGATGTTGACCCATCGAATTCTTCCCGAAGATGCGAACGCCGCATTGTCACGCCCGCTGATGTTCTTACAATCCGGGGAAACACCGTCCAGCTCACAATCTATCTCATCCCCCAGATCCGCGATGCCAGCATGGCTGCTCGCGAACGACAGGAAAGCGTATTAAGCGTGAGTTTCTCCTCAGGCTCGGTGAGATGAATCGGATAATCCTCGGAAATAAGACCAAACACGAGCGCGCAATCAACCCAAATTGCCGCACATCCCCGAGGTTCCTCCACATCCTTCTTTGCACCCCGCCCCCACCGTGCCCTATTGGAATTCCCCCGCCTCTGTGCAGGGAGAGTGAATGTACCCCCTCAGCATGTCAGCATGCTGGCCAATCTGGAAGAGTCGGGTCTGGGGCCCGAAGCCGAGCCGCTCGGATGCTGAGGAGGATGAGAGAACGTCATACGAGCCCAAGAGGACAGTATTTAACAAGCTTTGGTCTGCCGCTTGAACCCCTCTCGCGATACATTTTACCGCCTATCAACGAACAAGGCAACTGCAGCCAGCGAGACTAGTGCTGTTTGTTGACTGAACTGCTCTGCTTATCCCCCCCCCAATCGCCAGCCTCACGCCTTCTTTCCTTCCCTCATCGTTCTCCACCACCACCCTCCTTGTAGCCAACCTCCCTTTGCTTGCGCTCCACAATGTCCGTCCAGTCCAAGCTGCCAAGCCCCTTCCTCTGGGGGTATGCGACCGGTGCGTCTTTCTTCTCCTTTTCACTCCCTTCCCAGCTGACCCAACCACAGCAAGCTACCAGATCGAAGGCTCCCCAGCGGCAGACGGCCGCCTCCCCTCCATCTGGGACACCTTCGCCTCGAAGCCCGGGAAGACCCTTGATGGGCTCGATGGGTCTCACGCAACCGAGTCCTACTCCAAGTGGAAGGACGACATCGCCCTGCTCAAGCAGTACGGCGCGAAGAGCTACAGGTTCTCCCTCAGCTGGAGCAGGATCATCCCGAAGGGAGGAAGGGGGGATCCAGTGAACGAAGCGGGGATCAAGCACTATTCGGACTTCATCGATGGTCTGCTAGAGGCTGGGATCACACCTTTTGTCGTGCGTTCTCTCCCATCTCTTACCTAGCACGACTTGACTAAGGCATACATTAGACTATATACCACTGGGACTTACCCCAGGAACTTCACGACCGGTATGGGGGCTGGCTGGACAGGCGCATCATAGATGACTTTGTGAACTATGCCGAAGTCTGTTTCAAGGCTTTTGGCGATAGGGTCAAGCACTGGTACGTTCCTGCCTCCGGTTTCTACCACACCTCGGTAGTGTCCCACTGCTGCGATACTCTGGTCCTACCTCAACTACAGCCTCCACCTCCACTCTTGCCGCTGGCTATCATGAGTATATGCTGATTCCTGTGCTAGGTTGACGATCAACGAGCCCTGGTGTGTTGCTGTCCTCGGCTACTGCGTGGGTATCCACGCCCCAGGCCGGTGCTCAGACCGGAACAAGTCCCCCGAGGGAGGAGACAGTGCTACCGAGCCTTGGATGTACGTCTCTGCTCCTCATACGTTTCTGCAAGCACTAGTACTAATGATACCATTAGTGTGGCCCATCATGAGATCCTCGCCCATGCGCAAGCGGTCAAGATCTACCGCGACAAGTACAAGCCTGCCCAAGGTGGCGAGATTGGGATCACCCTCAACGGTGACTGGTGCATGCCGTATGATGATTCTCCAGAGAGTGCGTTCATGTCTCGCCCTCCATATAACTCATCCTCACAATCGAACAGACGTCAAAGCCGCCCAGGACGCGCTGGATACTGCTATAGGTTGGTTCGCCGACCCAATCTATCGAGGCTTCTACCCCGAGTCAATGAAGAAGATGCTCGGGTCCCGCCTGCCAACCTTTACAGAAGAAGAGTGGGCCCTCGTGCACGGTTCCTCCGATTTCTACGGTATGAACACGTACACCACCAAACTATGCAAGGCTGGCGGGACGTTGGAACATCATGGGCTTACGGACAGCACGTTCACTCGCCCGGATGGGACGCAACTCGGTGTGCAGGCACATTGCTCGTGGTTGCAGGCCTATGCACCTGGATTCCGCGCTGTGAGTGTTTTCTCTGCGTCCGTGATCTGACGACTCACTCACCTGGTGCAGCTACTTAACTATCTCTGGAAGACCTACAAGAAGCCGATCTATGTCACTGAGAACGGGTTTGCGGTCAAGGACGAGGGCAGCAAGCCCCTCTCCGAAGCGATCCACGACACCGACCGTGTGAACTACTACCAGGGCAACCTCGACGCCCTCCTGGCGGCAGCAACTGAGGACGGATGCGATATCCGCTCGTACTTCGGCTGGAGTCTGTTGGATAACTTTGAGTGGGGTGATGGCTATGTCACGAGGTTTGGTGTTACGTATGTCAACTATGAGACGCAGGAGAGGACGCCCAAGGACTCAGCGCGGCTGATTGCCAAGTGGTTTGGGGAACATGTTGCTAGCGCAAGTGCGTAGCGTAACATAGGTATGCGTGTGCGTCGGTGTAAGGTAGGAGACGGAAAGGCGAAATATGTATATCCCTTGTAGCCCTGCTCATCCATTTTGTGTCACGTGAGTCAGGAAAGAAATTCGTAGTGAACCCTGAGAGCACAATTCATCCCCTGCGTATGACATACTATCCTGGACAAAATGACGAAGCAACAGTAGCGGAGGCGAAAGGTCCTGGCATATCCTGAGCAATCCTGTATACTCCCGGTACATCCTGCCTATAGGGTCCTTTTACTGGGTCACCTGGAATCATACCACATTGTATGGGCTTGTCCTGACTTCTACAGGTATGTTCCTGGTTGTTTTGGCTCCTAATGGTGTCTACCTGTGTCTACCTGCTTCTATCAAATGTTCCTGCATGTCCTGCCTTTTCTTGGCAGCCTGCCAGATCCTGAGCAGTCCCTAGAAACACATCACTCTGTGTCATCAACCATGTACTGTTTTGCCCTTCTTCCTCCCATGCCACTGGGTCTAGTAATTTCTGTGTCACCATCCCTACATACTCCATTCAAGTCTGAGACAATGAGGGTCCCACAGACCCACTCATTCTCTAAGCTTGCCCTAAATGAGCTAAAATTCTTGCTAGACTCCAACATCCTGCTTGCTCCTGCCTGCTTGCTCCGATGTCAGGGCACCAGCTCATTGCTTGGTCAAGAGACATGACTAAGCCTTTATGACATGGAAGTAGCTGGTATACCTTGGCATGTGCTGGAACCTGCTGGAAGGATTGGATGGTCAGGTGACCTGCTGTGCATGGCTGTGCATGACCTCATATGACCTCATCCTTGGTCATATGACCTGATCACCTGACTAGGCTGAGTAAGCAAGATGTTCTACCAGGTTCCACCACAGAGGTATAAATATAAGGCCTACTCTGCCTGGGACTGTCTCTTCAGACTTGGTCTCTTAGGATCATCCACAGGTACCTATACTGTAGATAGGTCTTAGTCATCAGGTCTACTCCACTTCCTTGTTGCCTGCTTAGACTCTTGGCACTCTTAGGTGAGCAGACTTAGTCAGCCTGTGTTGCCCTAACAGAAGACCAAGTCTCCAAGTGACAACCTCTGCTTCACCACTCCACCTCTACTCTTACCTGCCTTTACTCTTACCACACACACCCAACACCTGCCTTATTCCATATCCACCATTATGGAACAAGCAGAAGAATTCCCTGATCCCATTTCTATTCTTCAAGCACAGGTCCTAGAGCTGACTCAGCAG